ACCTCCCCCCAAACCTCCCCCCCACCAACTTCCCAGAGCAAATACAGGGTAAAAATCCTTAACAACCATATTCTAAAATAAACTAACAGACTTTAGCATCATCATCCCTCACTTGTACTTTAACTCCCCTTTCGTTAAGCTAACTCTAGACAAATTATATCATTCCCTGCTCATTCAATCACAAGCTATCTGGAGTTTCTTAGTCCCATATTTACTTTGAATATAATCAACCCACCTTCTCCTTCTGATGATACCATGGAGCTTTCTGGGGCAAACAGCCGTCGCTTTCCCACCATTCCGAAAGACGAGGCGGCTGGGCGGCAGCCGACAAGAGTCTAACTGGCTACAGAACTGACTGAGCAACGGATGCAGCAAGTGGGCCCCAAGGGCCCCAACCTCATTTTAGGCCTAACGCTATTCAACCTATCTATAAATCTCTTGGTTGAAGTACTGGAAAGTACAATAATTGAATCTGGGATGAAATATGGAGCAAGCACCTTAAAAGCGATTCCAAGACGTGGGTGGATCTGAATTTCAACAGGACAAAGCCCTCATCTGGATAGGAAGAATCAAGGGCTAAATCAAGGGCTAAACCCTGAAAGTACCTAAAAGGATCTGGGGGTCTTGATGGGCCACATGAGCCAACAGTTCCAGAAAAGCTGGAGTAAACCAAGAAAGAGTGGCAAGCTGGGCTGCACCGACAGATGTAGAGGATCGAGTCAGCCTGAGCCTGTGCTGGTCCGGTTCCAGGTTTTAGGAAGGACGCGATAACTGAGGGATTTCTGGAGGGAAGCTTTCATTAGGACAAGGGGGAAATCCTGATAGGAACAGTTGGAGGCGCTGGATGTCCTTACCCCGGAAAGACCACAGAGAAACATCATCTGGAACATGAACAAAAAAATCCCAGGATTCGAAAAAGGTGTGTGGCATCGCAGTGGTCGGACTTTCCTGGGATCCCGGGATCGCTGCCGAATTCTGGTCATCCGGATGGTCCATTCGAACCTAAACCATCCCGTAGAGACGGTGATAGGTAGGGGTATGTCCTGCCAATCCCAGAGACCCCCACAAAGTCTCTGGTGATCCGGGAAAAAGCCCCTCTTGCCGGCGACTAAGAGTCAGCTTTTTGGCTGCTGAAACTGCTGACCGCCCTGAACGTAAGCACTGGAGAGAAGCATGTTGATTTGGTGAGAGTTTTATTTTTATACCCTAAAACTTGGAGACTTTACTTAAGAAAGACTGATAAGAAAATAAGCGGCGGATGTAAGAAATAGTTAAATGAAGGTGTCCTTTTTTCTTTTCCCTTTTTAATGCCGGAAGCCTGACTGGATTTAAGAAGCGATTCGATTTTGACTTGGATTTTGACTTGGACCAGCTGATTGTGCTTTTCTTCTTACTTGCTTTTTTGGACCTTTTGGAATTATTGTTACAATTAAGTTGGAATTGACCTAGAATCCTTTCCTTTTTTATTAATCACTTTCTTTAAAAAAAAAGAAAAAAGAAAGTTAAAGCAGAGTGTAACAGTGTAACAAGAATTGAGATTGAAACAAATATCACTGCCACCTAGTGGTTTTGGAATAATGTCTTGTTTTTTGCATGAATGTTTGGAGAGAAGCTGTACAAGGCTATTCA